GAGAGAGCTGTCATAATGTGATTTAAGGTTATGGTAAATGTTAAGAAGATTCTGGCCGCCTCAAATTTTGATAAAAATGCACTCAATCGATGTGTTTCGCGTAAAAATAAAAACTTAACGAGAAAAAAAAGCGTCGCTCTGCCCTGTGAACTGGGATATTAATAAATTAAAGTCGACAACTATTCAGATTAGGAAATCTGTCACAACAGTGATTCATTGTTTTTTAAAACATAAACTCACTGTTTTAGCAAAGTATTTTTACTACAGAAGATTTGTGTTTTTAAAACAGTGAACCATTGCTGTGACAGATTTCCTAACTTGGATAGCCGTTGACTTTAACGATTAATATTTCGATTCACAGGGCAAAGTGACGTTTTTTTTGTTGTCAAATCTTTTATGCGAAAACGCATCGATTGCATTGTGTTAATATGAACGTTGTTTAGTTTAAAACAAAAATCACAGAAATGGATTAATATACATTTTAACATACATAAAAGTTACAAATAACAAAATATTATTTAGCTCGAAGAATTGAATTATTATTTATTCTAATAATACAATATGTAGGTAGATAAATTTTTTCATTAGATTCATAAAGAGTTGCGGTTTCCGTTTTGTTGGCATTTTCGTATGAACTTCTATAATTCTCAACTGACAAATAAATACACTAAAGTATATACATGCTTTTAAAACAATAACATTTAAAGCCTCCAGAATTACAATGAGTCTTGCATAGCACAAACTCGCAAGATATAAATTGGAACATTTATCATATAGTATGTCATTTACAAATTTAATCTTAGATTTTAATAAAAATACATTTATTTGATATCATTTTATATAAAATCAAACGTTTGAAACTGAAAAATCGTTGATATGTTATATTCTATAAATCTATACCATAGAAATAAATTTGACTTACTTTTTATTACACAGAAAAAAAGACTGTCCTTAAATCAGTTTTAATGTGTTCGTACGTATAATAAGCATAAATATTATAATCTTGCTTCAAAGATTTTAGTCTTGATTTTATTAAATTTATATCGTACAAGTACTTGTATCAATACAAATTCAATTAAATCAAGACTAAAATCTTTCAAGCAAGATTACAATATTTATACTTATATACGTACAAGCATATTAAAGTTGATTTAAGAACAGCTTTTTTTGTGTACTTCTTTTATTTCGTTTATCTCCGCTACCTTATAATCAAACGCGTGCTAACAATTATAGTATACATATTAAGCTTATTTTTTTCAATATATCTCTTATCCAAATTATCAAAGTGCATTCAAACGTTTTTTTTTTAATTTATTCTTTAGGCTTCTACAGACAAGCCCAAAGAATTACATATAATTATGTAATTCAGTGTATAAAATTATATAATATGTCCATAGGGATCTTTTCTTTTCAATATCATTTACTAATGTCATAAATCTTATATCATATGTAGGCTCGCATCTTGTGTGAGAACTTTGAAATTTTCAAAATAAACGTTTCTCTTTTGCATAACATTTATGCGAGTAAATTGTATCGAACATAGCAAAATGGTTTTTTTTATGTATATAGTGTTATGCCTGCTTTTTGTCAGCACCTGTGTCGTGCCGATTCCAAAAGAAGTTGAAGAATGCGTCATCGAGACGAGTAACTCGGCTGTCAATCAAGTCTTGTTGCATCACTCGTCTTGGACGGACACGTCTTTGTCAGGTGCTTATTTCCGTTATATTTTTGAAAAGTGTGGCAGACTTTGACTGTGCTTTGACAGTCCCTGTAAGAGAGTTGTGTCAATCTTGTATAAATTTTCATTGGTTTTGAAGTAAAATGGCGGAACCAATCATCGATGCTGTTATATCCCCACTTTTGAGTAATGTGAACGCGGTGGTTTAGATTTTAGAAGTTGTAAGAGTAGAATTTACGTTAAATTATATAATATTGACAAGTAGACAAGGTCAGAACGTCACTTTCGACCACATAATATCTGTATCTTTTATACATTTTTAATTCGAAAGCTTTATAATAATGTATAGACTTACTTATAATTGTGATATTGTAAGAGCTGGGTCGAGAAAAATATCGGGACTCCACCGGTGCCGGGACTTAAACCGAGGCCTCGTTGCCGTTCGTATTAGCAAGCTTTCGTCTCGCCTGCCACCATGACTTTACGCTCTTCGTAGTATAAGGTCTAGCGTCCCTTTCTGCTAGAGTCCCAATTAGACGCCATTTTACTTCAGATTGACACAATTCTCTTATAGGGACTCTACTTTGCAATTACTCTAAATCCGCCTAGCGGTCTCGCGATTTTGGATGTCCCGTTCGTTCGTCCTGACGCGCGTATTAGCGGCGTGACGACGCGACGTCGTGGACGCAGGCGCCCGGTGTTCGTGCGGTTCTCGCCATTTTCGCGGGTTATTGCGTCACTCTTTAAGACTTTACGTTACTCATCGCCTTGTGCGGCATTTTCGTTACTGGCCGTATTGACTTAGTTTGGGTCGTGTGCCATTCATTTAAGACTAAGACTAAGACTTGGCTGTCTTAATGTTAACTGGATCAGGCGGTCGCTCCGTTCGAACGTTTTCCGATTGCTTCTGACCTTTCAAATCGTTTTCGCTCTCGTCTCGCTTATAAAACATGATAATAAAGTGTATTATTTTCTTTAATAAAATCCCATGTCTTTTTTCGCGGATCGTTTGCACGGATTCGCGATACTATTGCGCAGACATAACGTTTCGATCACGCGGGCGTAACAATAAGTATACATCCGTATTGACGTAAAAATTTTATTCAGATTAGATCATGTAACTTCGTACTACTACGTGTTTATTATTACTTTTTTAAAAGATAAATCTAGATTTTGTAGTAAAATTAAAAAATAATGTTTCAGATATAGTATATACATATATATATGTTCGGTCAAGCTCAGTTATCGACCGAGATCGATAGACTACTCAGGGCGCGCGACTAGTACGAACCGGCCTTATCCTCTATGCGCACAACGACTACGCCTTCACTTCTTGTCTCGTGGCGAACAACGACGCCTCGGTGTGTGACGCTCCCGACAGTTTTGTAGTCGTGGCCTCTAATCATCTCATTGGCCGAGGGTGTGGGTCCCTCAGGGAGGCGGCCAGGACGGCCAGGAGTATTCTCGTCAGAGATAGCTACCGAATACGCCGTGCCTCGGCTCAGGTAATTCTCTTCAACTTCTAAAGCCGTGTCGCTATCCTCCATAGCGTCACGCCTAACGGTCGGTCGTACGACCACCGTCTGTTTCTTATTGCCGGACGAGTGTCTCCGGCGGTGGCTGCTACCACCTCCTCGAGTCCGGTGATCTGGCCCGGACGTAGTTTCACTCCGATGCCTTCGGAGTGGCTACCAAGGCAGTGCCGCTGCCGGTCATTGTTTCTCTCTTTCCCTCTTTCTCATTCTCATAGTAAATGTGTCCGACGTTGATCTCGGACGGTGTCTAGCAAACACCACTTAGAGCGTTCGACGAAAGTCTCGAACGGTGCCTAGCGCATCATTCTTACGGGGCCTGATGACGGCTCAGGCGAAGGCCCGTGTCTCCTTCCCAAGTTCACCGGAGTGTGGGTTATCATAACCCCCCCTTCCCCCCCCCCCCCCCAGTTTCAGAAGCGGACTTCCGATGCCACGCCGAGCGAATTAAACACAAGAGCGTCGCAAATGAGAGTCACAATTGTTCGCCCACTCGAGATGGTCGTTGTGTATATATATGCATACGCATAACATTAACCGTTATTAATGATTCTTAGATTTTGTGAATATATATACATACGCATAACATTAACCGTTATTAATGATTCTTAGATTTTGTGTATATATATGCATACGCATAATATTGCTGTTTAATAATGATTCTGTATGTATATATGCACACGCATAATATTGTTGTTTATTAATAATTCCGAAAGATAGCACACATATGCGTTCAAATAATCTTAACCTGGTTCACTGTTTGTTATTATTAAATGAGAAAATTTCAATGTTTTCATTAGCTCTTGAATAATTACTTGCGAATGAGTTTATGAGATTAAAAGAATTTAATGTGAACGACTTACGCCATAAGCGATCTTCTGATATCTATCCTGTTTGTAATTACAATCGAAGAATTTTCTACTGTCAATGTTTTTTTTTTCATATAACATACAGATTTCCTTATCGATGATACGCTTACGTCTAATTGACTTAATATGTTCGTACTAGATTGATGATCAATCCTTTGAAGAACTTCACTGTTCAATGTATTCTCTTGTTGTAATATAACTACTTGTCACTGTGATTGAAGTTTGATCTATTTCGGTCAGTGCTAGCGCTCGCCGAATCCGAACCTCCTTTATGTAATTCAACAATATATATATATATATATAAATTGCATATTCAAAGATACCGTAAGTTTGAGGCTTATCGCCGTGTTTTTATCCTTTGCTAATGCCATTAATGACATTAAACACGGCGATAATCCGCAAACCTTCTGATATCTTTGAATATACAGTTAATACACATATGTATACAACGCGAGCGCGCACACACACACACACACGCACACACATGTATCATGGTATTAGCAATGAATAAAAATACGGCGATAACCCGCAAATCTTTTGATATCTTTGAAAATAATGGCTGCGTTCAGCACAGAAAGCAGCTTTGCAACTGTTGTAAAATTCTTGAATATGATTGGCTTATACATTTAGATCTAATAAGGAAATAAGAGCAAGACCAATCATATTAAAGAATTTTACAACAGTTGCAAAGCTGCTTTTTCTGCTGAACGCAGCCAATGTCTTGGAAAACAATATCGTGAAAGCTCCAAAAGTATAATAACTATATATCATTATATTTCAGATACGCTCAGTTGTATATTTTCACTCCTACTTGTCGGAGAGTCGTTGTTGCAGTTTATTTTTTAAATTACAAAAGTGAGAGAGAGAGAGAGAGAGAGAGAGAGAGAGAGAGAGAGAGCAATTGTGTGTTTAAATACAAACATGATAGTTTTAAACATTGTCAAATATCTCAACGGATCGTGGAGAAACATTCCCCCAAACAGGTACAATACCTATTTATGTATATTTATGTAATTTTCTAATTGTATCATATATAAAACTTCAATGTTACTGTTTTTATCTTTGTACTATCAAATGAAATATTACATGTCTGAGGAATCAATCTTACTTTCGAGTAATATATTACAAAAACATATTTAGCTAAAAAGAAACTTATATTGTTGAAAATATCATATTTAATATATTTTTAAATTATACAAGTTGAATCTATGTTCACAACATCAAATTAAATTACATTATATTAAACTTAATATATTTGTAACTAAAAAATATATTTGTGTGTATGTACATAAAATTTAATAAACTTTTCATAAAATTTAATGTATTTTCTATAAAATTTTTATATGGATTTGCATGAAATAATGCATATTTAGGTCTACTATAACTTAATTTTCATTAAAACATTCATTACTTTGCAGTTACTTCGTAATCATAAGCTTCTTTTATACATATTACTTAAATTCATAACTATGAAATTTCTAATAGCGTAAATTACTTGTTATAGATTATTAGGAAATGTTATATATTTTAACCGATCAATATCAACAATGGATCCTAAGAAAATTGAGCATTTTGCTAGTATGAAAAACTTTTGGTGGGATGAAAATGGTCCTGTAAAAGGTCTCCATACGTACAATCTATTTAAATTACAGTTTGTAAAAGATGGATTAATAAATGCTAAAGTCCAAATACAGAATTCAGATCTTCCATTAAAAGAAATCAAAATTGTGGACATTGGCTGCGGCGGAGGTATAGTGACCGAGGGTTTAGCTAAAACAGGTGCACAAGTAACCGGAATAGACGTATGCGCAGAATTAATAGATATTGCTAAAGAACATGTAAAAATGGATCCTCATATATCAAAAAGAGTGAATTATATTCACACAACCGTGGAAGATTTTGTTCAAAAGAAAGAAGATAGCACATATGATGCTGTTATAGTTTTCGACGTTTTGCAATATGTGACAAACCCACAACTATTTTTAAAAGTAAGTACAATTATATTCATTCTACATAGGACGCAAATTGCTGGTCGCAATATTCCGATCGTAGTAAAGAGCTACACGATGCAAAAGACGCGCAGAACGAGAAGTTAGACTTATAAACTTCAACTTTCACGTCCTACGTCGCGTCGATGCGATCAATCAATTATTATCAATTGTTTTCATATGATGTATGTATATGCTACATCATATAACATATATCTTTAAAAAATCGAAAAAATAAAAAAATTCTAAATGGGATTCTGCAACAACAGAAGTTAATTTACGAAATAAGAAAGAATCCTGTAATTTGCGTCTTCTTGTTCTCATTTTATCTATTTACTTGCTCACAATTTTTTTATCAAATTGAATGACTTGACGGATTTCTCGCTCTAAATCTAAGTAGACTACATAAACGCAAAAATTTTACGATCTGCGACTTTCGTTTTGCGCCCTGCGTTTTGAGTTTAACGTCTTTCGTTTTATGTAAAACGAATTTTATAAAGAATATAAAACTATAAAAATTTGTTTATATACATATATAAAATTTATAAGATAATATTTATAGGATATTAATTAACATCCTATAATATATTAAGATAACATAAAAGTAATTATAAAGCTCTATATGTAGGTATAAGACAGTAAAAATATAAAAAGAGCAAACAGCTAAGTAAATCAACGAACAAATTTAATTCAAACTATATACAAATATATAAATATTATACACTAAAACAAACGTTTCGACTCTAATCGGGTCATTTTCAATGTTACAAAAAATATATAAAGTATTTTGAGTTAAAATTTACTGCAACCAAATTGATTACGGATATACGAAAAAGTAAAATTAGAATATGTGTACCTAATTATAACGCATCTTTTCACCTGCGTGAATAAAATAAAAGTAATTATAAAGCTCGATATGTATAAAACAATATTTATAAATATTGTCTTAATATAAAAATAAAATATTTTTGAAATATTATGTGTACAGGAATGTGTGGAAATTATAAAACCTGGAAAGTCAATTTTTATAACGACGATAAACAAAACTCTAACATCTTGGCTATCTAATATTCTGGCAGTCGAATACATTTTCAGATGTATACCTTGTGGTACTTTTGAATGGTATAAATTTGTCGAGCCACATAAAGTACAAAGTATACTAAAGAACTGTAAGTTTTATTCTTAATAAATCTAAGAAAAAAATATAAAACAATGTGTTGTATAAAAATCATATTGATATAATTATATATCTAAAACGTTTGAACATTTATCCTTATAAGTGTTTCTTAATTTTTCCCCTTTTTTGCAGATGATTGCGAAACGATATCAATGTGTGGAATAAAATTTAATCCAATAACAAAACGATGGTTTCGATCATCAAGTGTATCTACTTTTTATATGCTTCATGCAGTCAAACAAGAAAAAATTGGCATATAGTTTTTTTTTTTTTGAGAGTACAGTTTATACTTTTAATATTAAATTTGTACTGACAAAAATGGTTGAAAATGAACAAGTCAAAAGATTCTGATTAAATCAATCAGAATTCCGGTCATCTCAACTAAAATTTTAGAGGAAAGTCACTCCGATACCGATATATCACTTTGTATTTGGACAATATTTCTTAAACAAAAGATAAAAATAAGATTTTAAAAATAAAAATATAAACTAAAAAGTGTCTTCTATCAAATGGTATAAGCAGTTTTTATAATACTGTTTGCAAATTTACAATAATTAATTTTTTCGTAACATAAGCAAAAGTGAACACCTGACAATATGGGCCCTAAAACTGACACAGTAAGCAGTAATGTCACAGATTCCTATTCTTTTCCTTTTACAAGAATTATCTGTATAAAACATCTACAAGTAAATGTATATAAGATTTTCCAGAATTTTTTCACTTTATTATAAAACTCTTTTTTAAATTATATGCATATTTACTTTATGCTGTTTTTCAAGATGCAAATATGTAACGCGATAGTTTTTTAAGAGTTTTCTCATAGCTGCACGATTACCTCTAGCTTCAATAACTTTAGCACTATAAAACAACATTATAAAGATTAAATTAACTCATGATCTGTTTTACATACAGATGTGGTGGTTTACTCTGCATTCCAATTTATGACTCATCTCCAAATGGATTCTAGAGTCATCGACACATACCTTAGTTTCCTTTACCCCTCTCACATATATTTTCAGTACTCAAAAATCTCACGTTATTGGTTAAAGTTGATAAAAAAAACTCCATCTCTTTAGTCGAAATAAAGATCCTTCTAGCTCTAATCGAGATCGAGTCAATCTATTCTCGTAAGCCGAACTTGCAACTTAGTCCTAAGCAAGCCTCTTGTATTAACGTTAAATAAAGCCTTCTGAAGTTGTCAAACCTTGTAATTCTTTATATTATATTGCGACGCTTCGTGCGCGTAACAATGCGCGTCGTCAAGAAGAGACGTATGAGATCAGTAGCAGTTTTCTTTTGCTGTAGAAGAGTTGAAATACCGTTTGTTTAATTTCCTAATGAGTCTGTTTCTTGAGAGTGAACCTTTCCTCCTTCGAGAGTATAAGGCCGGAGGAAGAGAAAAGTTGTCTAAACGGATCATATAGGTTTATAGTACGGGTCGTAACGATCACGGCCATTTTGTTGTTTTTATGATTTCGTTTGCGAGTTTTCTCTCACAATATCTCTCACAATACTCATTCAAATACTAGTATAGCTCTTGGTCGAATGTATGAAATACGCCGGTATGTTAAGTTAGCACCCCAACTATAGTACTTAGGAGTTCTGATTAGAGTTCCCATTTCCTTTTGACGAGACGAAGAATTCCCTATAGTTAATAACAAGAGTTCCGCTCAATAAACATTTTTTTTACATTTTTTAAAAATGGGGTGCTAACTTTTTATCGAATTTCGAGATGGAATAGTTCTGAGCGGCTTAATAGCTTCAATTTGCGATTGCCTAGAGTTCCTGATATGAAAAAAAATTTTCGAATATTAAAAAAAAAAAAATTTTTGAAAAATTAATTTTTAGATACAATAGTTCTGATGATAATTTCTGCTTCTTTTTGATGATACGAAGAGTTCTCTATGATTTTTAATGACATATGCGCTTAATAATCATTTTTTAATAATTTTTTTAAAATGGAGTGCTAACTTTTTAACGAAATTCAAGGTCGCATAGTTCTAATCAGCTTAACAGAACTATTTTGTGAATACCTAGAGTTCTTGATACATAAAAAACATTTTTGAAGAATAATAAAGTTTAAAAGAAATAGTAGAAATCTTTGAAAATTTTTTTGAGAGTACCGAGTAGTTCTGAGTTACGTTTCTTATACTACTTGACGAGTTCTATCGAAAACTGTAAGGTGGGAAAGCGATTGGACTAACGGTTTGCAAGAAACAGCGATATTTATCAGAAGATCAACAATTTTTAAAGTGAGTATATCTCGGAAACCGTTGGTCCAATCGCTTTGAGCCCTGATACTTTTCGACAGAACTAGCCGAGAACTGTCCAGAACTCCGATGATAACTTAACATACCCGAAATACACTTCTATCCAGTACAATTACAATAATGTATCTGGCTTCGCCGGCTAAAATGAAAGGAATATGCCATGGACAGTCATCAATAGCTGCATTCAGCAGAAAAAAACAGCTTTGCATAAAATTCGTGAATACGATTGATTTATACATTTAGATCCAGTGAGGAACTAGGAGCAAGACCAATCATATTAAAGAATTTTACAACAGTTGCAAAGCTGCTTTTTCTGCTGAACGTGATCAATGGCTTCCGAGAGTGTGTGTCAGTAATCCTCAAAATCGTCTAAGCCTTTTTTCGAGGATCGGTATAGACAAAGATTAACTATGATCTGAGGATGCAGGACGAGACTCTCCGGCCACAAATACTTGAATCTTTCACTGAATGTAATCTAATGAAAAATGTGAGAACAGCATCTTTTATAAACGAGAAAGATCTTTACTGTGTGCTCGAAAAGAACAACAAGCCAGAACAACAGGCGGAAGCCAGAAATACGTTTACGCAGAGAGCGTTGATAAAGGCTCGTAGCGCCATCCTGTTACGTGTGGCGTCGCCTAAACGCCAGAGGTGCGAATGCCGATTATCGGCAATTACGTGCGTACTTTAATTTGAGTGAACTCGCAACAAATGGAGAAGAAAAAAGAAATTTTATAAATATATATTGTAAGTGTACGATAGTGGCTGCAATCCACTTACTTCTTCCAAATGCTCTGAACTCTAAACGTTACGGTTGGATCGGTCCATTATTGTTCCAAATGCTACAATCGCTACGTAAACGCTCCAGCCAACCACGTCTGTGAAGCTGGCCCTCATTGATAAAATTTTGAAAAAATAAGCAGAGTTCTGGTTGCCCCCCGAAGAGTTCTAGAGTTCTCTATCAAATTTAGGAAGAGTTTTATTGATTAAAACAGCGAAAACACCATTTGAAATTACGGGGGGGCCAACTTCACGATTCTGCAACTTTGAAGAGCTATAACTTCTAAACCGTTCATTTTAGCACGTTGGTCTATAGAGGACAATCGATAGAACTCTTTGGGGGGCTACCAGAACTCTCAAGAAAACGTCGGATTTAAGAAAAAAAAAATTCACACAATATCAGAATTTTAAAGTAAATTTAATAAATTTACTTTAAATGTTACACTAACTTTCGTTTTCAACAAATTAGTAAAATTGAATTACTTTAGTATCTTAAATATGACGGAATTCTCTCAACATTTCTAACAGTGTAGATACGCGCAGTCTATTTTCTATGTCTTTAGTAGCAACCAGGTAGCTGTCACTGCTATAACACGAGACATTCATTATACCGTGATTCAAACAACTACATAAATAGTTGTTCTATTTTACTATTTAATCTAGTTGCCATCATATTTCTATCCGTGTACATCGGTCTGCAGCTACATTGTTTTCTCCGTGTATAATTTTATACCTTAAGAAGTCAATATCTTTTAAACGAAGCGTTTGCAAAACTTCCAGAAAAAAGTCTTATTTGTTTTGAGGTCTTAAATATTTAGTTTGACAGTTTAACCCGAAAATACATCCCCTGTATATACCTACATATAAAACAGGCGCTAATTTAGATATTGCATAGAAGACCTGAATAGTCTAGTGCCGATCCTGGTTACCGTTATTGGTTGAGTATAATATGTAAAATGTTCGGTTAGATATGTCTAGTGAGCTTATAGCTAGTGTAGCACATAGAAGTTTGTGTTCAGAACTCACCTAAATTAGCCAATACGTAAGAGAAACCAGAATAAAAATTAGAGTTCAGAATACTCAAGTACACTGAAAAAAATTTTGGTCCAACGAATGATCGTTAATCAATGATCAACTTAATGTCTAATTAATTTATAAACACAATAACTAGCTTCATTAATATAATTACATATTTATTCTTGCAACGAATTCAAGTAATAGTTTTGTAACCCAAATTATTATGAGAATTCATTGGACTAATTTTCATTAATTCAATGAATATTTTATTGTACATATTACGTACAAATTACGTACGTTTTCAGTGTACCCGCTCGTCCGTTCCGTTACCCGTGCATACAAATTTGGACCGGTTTCGCAGATACTCACTAATTCGAATACCCACAGAACTGTGCACGGTGCGAATATCTGCTGAATTGTGTGCAATGCGGATATCCAATTAAGGAATCATAAGCGATACGAGTATCCGTTTCTCGATGCGAGTATTTGCTATATGCTACAGATATCTGCGTGTAATTTTGTCAATTATAAAAATATGTTTTATAATCGTTTGTAATAATTCTCATTACATTTGTAATTAAATATTCCGGAACTAAACTGTTTTGTTTTCGCATTATGGATATTGTCTACAGAAAAAAAAAGGTTCTTTCTGAACTTATGGATATTTTTTACCATATCCGTTTACACCAAAGGCATAGAGAATGGATTGCGCAATTCATATCTAACATTCAAATGTGGTGTCGACAATAATGAGACCGAGGGACCGTGGAAAACGGCTAATCTCCTTTTTGAAAGAAAGTTTCATTGATACAAAGTTAGTTGTTTTATACATAACTTATTTTTATTTATTTATTTACAAAGTGAATAAACAAAGAATCACAACAAAACTTTGTATAAATCATCTTGAACACTTGAAGTGTTTACAAAAAAGTTCAGATTTTGCAAAAAAATTTTAAATAATAAATAAACTAAATAAACTATATAAAAATGTGTTATAAAATAAAAATATGATCTTATTCACATAATTTTCATATAGCTTATTTAAAGTGTAAATATTAAAGACATTTTCAAATTTAATTTGCTTTGTAGAGACTGTACGACCAGTACATCTTTAATTTGAACTGTTTAACTATAAACAAAATGAAAATAGTATAAACAATTCTAAAACACCATTAAAATTAACAAAATTACGC